TAACATTTAAATGAAAAACAAAAAATAAAGCTAAAAACAATTCAAAATATGAATGAACAAAAGGTATAAGTGTATAATAATGATTCTAACATAACACTAAACCAAACACCAAAAAAACCTCTACATATGTGTATGTACAACCACACACATATACATATATACATACACATTTATAAATTCAATATATATATTATTTCATTTCCATTTAGTTTGTTGAAGTATTAAAATAACTCAAAATATCGATGGTCTTTACGCTCTTCGGTCTGCACACGAGGAGGCCGTCACGCGACGGCTGTCGCGGTAAACTAAGCTTTTTTATACCCGTCTAACAAAATACTACATTAATTCAGCTGGACACACTTTCCTTATTTTCTCCACAACAAATGGCCAAGCAAGCGCAGACACTGACAAGATACGCGATACAGAACGAGACCAAAACGTGATACCAGCACATCTCCACACAGTAAACAAAACAAGCGTTTCCTAGCAACGACAACTGTATATGTCAGTATAGCTGTGTCCGAAATCGCATACTTCCATACTATATAGTAGGCGAAAAACAGTATGCGAGACGAGTAGTATGTCCGAATTCAAATGTAGTACCTACTAAGCAGTATGCGATTTCGGACGCACCCAAAGTCTTTACACAATTTAAGCAGGCACAGAGCAGCCTTAACCCATCTGTGTAAAGATGCATAAAGTGAGGGCAGATCTGTGAACCTCTTCGTCAGGACAGTACACTACCAGTCAGTTTCTAACGTGTTTTAAAGAAGTCTCTTCTGCTCACCAGGCCTGCATTTATTTGATCCAAAATACTGCAAAATCAGTAACATTGTGAAATATTTTTACTATTTAAAATAACTGCTTTCTATGTGAATATATTTTTAAAAATGTAGCCTAATAAGAAATGAATGCGTTTATTTAGCAAGGATGCTTTAAATTGATCAAAAGTGATGATAAAGACATGTTACAAAAGATTTCTATTTCAGATAAATGCTGTTCTTCTGAACTTTCTATTCATCAAAGAAACCTGAAAAAATTCTACTCAGCTGTTTTCAACATCATCATAATAATATATGTTTTTTGAGCAGCAAATCAGCATATTAGAATGATTTCTGAGAGTAATGATGCTGAAAATTCAGCTGCGCATCACAGAAATAAATTACAGTTTAACACATATTCACATAGAAAGCAGGTATTTTAAAAAGTAAAAATATTTCACAATATTGCTGTATTTTGAATCAAACAAATGAAGGCTTGGTGAGTTAAAAAAAAACAAAAAATCTGGGTCGTGTGTATATATACGTATCTAATGTTTATAATTACGTACATAATTATATAAGTGCATTGCATTTAATGGCTTATATGTATGAAGTACTGAATTATAGATGCATTTGTGTTAAGATATATTTGTTCATCTCAGATATTTAGCTGCTGTTGATGATAGTTTTTACAGGTATGTGCTGCATTTGATGTTTAGATTTTTAGATGTTGATGTATTTGTTTTAGATCGTGACTATTATGTGCTATTCAGATGTGATTGCGATTAGAGAGCTGCAGTGCTGAAATAAGCAAATGTGACCCAACACGCTTAAAAATAAAGCTGCTTTCTTCCCAGCGATGCCACAGAAGAAGCATTTCTGGTTCCACAAAGAACCGTCTCTTTCTTACCTTTTTATAATCTGAAGAACCTTCAAAGAAGCCAGAAAGGTTCTAAAGGTTCTCTATGGAACCATTTAGACAAAAAAAAAAAGTTTTTCTATGGCATCACTGTGAAGCACCTTTATTTTTAAGAGTGAAGTTATTGTAAACCTGCTGTCAGACACTAGATGGCAGACGCGCAAAACATTTAAAGAGCTGCTTTACCATTATAACATGATAAAAGTCAATCTCATGCAGCCTTTATAAAACCGAGTATTCGACTGTGGTTAAAAACGGGTTTATATCTGCGTCCAGACAGACAATAAAACCAGTTTAAGGTTAAAAGCAGTGGTTTATAGCTCATGCAGTTTAATCATCCAAACAACTCAAACTATGACCTACAGGAGAATGACGTAACAGCCGTCATGGATATACAGTAAGAGATATATTTATGGATGTCTGCTGGCTTTAATGGTCTGCTTTTGGGCGTAAAATGAAAGCGGGGTTAAATGTGTAGCTGGAAGCCTCATGATTTACTCTGCCATCTGCGCATCCCTTGGCTTGCCATCTATTTCCAAGATAACAGGAGAGTTCTGATGCTGCCTCCGAGGCTGGTTGGCATGGAAACATCACACATGGTTTGCATCCGCTGCCTCTGGATGCACATGAAGACACTGCGACGGGGTTTGACCTTTGAGCTTATCTTTTTTTCCACACCGGCTTCGCATGATTTCATCGCGATATGATAACAACAAGTCTGGTAAAACACTTCCCTGCTGTGTAGTTGCACAAGGATTCGACAAATAGTAAATGTGAGCATTTCATTTCGCTGTGTTTGAATGCCGTCGTCTTTATATGCCATTATTTCCCTTAAAATCAGGAGTTGAAAAAATAAAAGAAGTTATTAATTTGCATAAATAAAAGTAAGATTTGCACATGAAATAATCTATTGTGATTGGCAATTTAATTTTTTTTTCTTTTTGGTAATTCATAATAGT